CAGAGCTGGCTTTAGCGTAGATCCTGGCCTTCTCTGGAGCTCGGTTGACTCTGTCGCCTGCGCTTCCCAGCAGATTGGCTTGGAAAGCTGTTTGCTGCTGTGTGAAGAAAGGCTTTTCCATCATGACCTACAGCAAGTTTTGCGTTTTCTAATGATGTGCTTTAGTAGGAAAAAGTTAAAACCCAATGATCTTCTTTTCCCTGTGCATGGATGAAATTCATGGACACTGTCTCCTGTCTCCAGCCCTGCTGCACAGCACCCAGCATGGGTGGCACGGGGCGCTGGCACCCTGGGTGCTGGTGGTGTGAATGCCCCCTGGTGGCACCTGCTCCTGCGGGACATGCTGAAGAGCTGCAGTCAAATAATGGTGAAGACTGACATGCCTAGAGAGCAAAATACACCTTGTGCGCTGTTTGCTGGTTGCTTTCTAGTTCCTCTTTCTTTATCTGGATTAAATCCCGGTCCTCCCCTTTAGAAAAAGTTTGAGTGGATTCAAACACAAGATAGTAACTCGGTATCTTATGGAACCCTAGATCTGTAGCAACTTGCTGTGAAGTTTTATTAAAGAATGTTTCATTCTTTGCATTAAAATCTGTATTTTCTTTTTCTCTAAACAAGTAGTAAGTGGAAGAGATGTGCTTGCTGGTGTCACTAGAAACAGATTTTGATTCTTATGTATGTGTAGTATGAACTGCTTTAAAAAAAAAGTGGGTTTTTTTTGTTTTTAAGTGGTGGAAACAGGACTTTTAAACTCGTCTCCTGCTGCGTCTGCAGGTTGCAGCTGGGATAACTTGAAAGCGAACTGGAGCAAAAGCCAGGCCACGGTGTTGCCTGTGGTTTTGTGCCCTCACTTAGGAGGGTACTGTGGGGCTGCAGAAGGCTGTAAAAACCAGAGCACCGTTTCGGAGTGGCTTCATCCCCGCCCCAGCACCTGCAGCGGCCCTGAGCGGGGCTGGGGCCTGGCAGGACACCTGGAGAGGGGCTTCCCGGCGCCGCGTCCCCCGGCTGCCTCGCGAGCGGCATGCTCCCCAGGCTTATTTTTAACTGCTGACTTGAGAGGCGCGCAGCAGATCGGGCGTACCCTGAGCAAAATGGCCACAGCGAGGCATCGTGACCCCTTTTCCGAGGCTCTGTCAGGGTTTCGGCTGTCTGAACGGCGCGTTGTCTGGCGCTGGGCAACGGCGTGGGCTGAGAGCAGGCCTCGCCTGGTCTCACCTGAAATGTTCTCTTGTCTTAGAGCAGGGATTCAGGACTTGGCATGGTTTTAACGTACTGAAGAGTTTTATCTGTCAGTTTTAATTTTTAGAGTGGATGCATTAGCTCTCAAATCGTTTTTGAAGGAAAAATCAGTATTTTGCGAAGGTCAGAGGCTCCCTCCCAGCTCCTTCCCTGCTCTGGTCTCCCAACCCCAGCAGACCCAGTCGAGGTGGTGTAACTGGGCTGCGCCGTGCCGAGGGCTGTGCGGGCAGCTCGCCAAAAGTCAGAGAGCTGTACGGAGTCTGCACATACCCAGCACAGGATTTGAATTGGCGATAAGTACACGCGGGCTGGGTCTTTTATAGGCTGTTGTAAGTATGCACAGCATTTCTCAGCAAAAGCAGACAAAATATTCTTTGAGGCTTTGGGAAAATTAATGTCTACAGGAACAGAGTTTCATAGAAGAAGGGTTTAAATTCTTAGTGTGACTTTTTTCTTTGAGAGGACCATGCATGCTGTGAAATGCACAGAGTCTGTTAATAGTCTGATATTGTTTGCATTTGTAATAGGAAGAGTCTATTCATAACTGTAACCCTACCAAGGAGGCTTGCACAAGTAGTTGCTCGCTAACACAGGGCTGGATGTGGGCGGCTCAGCAGGCCTTCCTGCTGGCACTGGGCAAGCCGTGCTGGCCTGCAGGACCGGGATCGGGGCTGGAGCAGCCTCGGACCCAGCTCCTGCCTGTCGCCGCAGACGGCTTCGCCCCGGTGTGCGCACCCCTCCTGCAGCTGCGGGCAGGGGAAGGCTGCTGCCCTTTTCTGTGTTAGTGCTTAAATGCATTTAACAGAATAACTCGGTGTGACTTCAGGTGTGTTACTCAACGAAGTCATCCTTGTGCTTTGTGGAAGAGGAACTCTGAACAGTGTTTAGGATGAGGGATCAGGAATGATGTTATCATGGTTTCAGAGCTATTTTCCTTATTTGATCCCCTTGGTGACGACTGGTAAAAATCCTCATGCTTGTTGGTGAACTGCTGTCTGTCTTGACCTGAGCTGGCTTTGAGCTGAAGTGCAGATGTGGGCTGGGGACATGGGGACGTGTGGAATCAGAGGATGGGGAGCGGCTTTTAGCACTCCAAGTGTGTTAAGACTCCCCTTCTTGAGATGGGAAGCAGTCACCATGGGCCAGCTCCTGTAGCAGGTTGTTTGCCTCTTCATGGCTGTACGGTTTGGATTTCCTTCCTCTGAGGAATACAGGGCAGGGGCTTGTGTGTGTATGTATATATTTCTTCTAGGGAATTGAAATAAACCATTTGAAAAGAAAACAAATAGGTATGTTCAACTCGCAGAGTTTTCCTGGTTTCCATACTGCTGCCTGCTTCCTGTACCTTAAATTCCTCTGCTCTAGCCAGCTCACGTTTCTGGTGTTCAGCCTCCTTTCTCAGCAGGACCCAACGGAGCTCGTTGCAAGTTCCTCTCCTGCTCTCCCTGCTTCAGCCAGCTTTGGCAGGAGCAAGGGCCAAAGTGGCTGAGGCTGGGGGGACTTGCCAGGTGGTGGGTGGCCGGGAGGAGAGAGGGAGGCTGCGGCATGTGCGGGTCTCCGAGCTGACCTGCGGTGTCGGAGGCAGTGTGATGGCTCCCCACCAGCAGAAAACAACCATTGTTGCTTTTAACTGGGCATGGGGGCTGCAACCATGAGTTACAGATCTGTAGAACACCCAGCAGCTGCTCTGCCTGTCGGCAGCGTGCTGCTGTTTAATGTCCTAACCCACTCTATGTTGTTAGAATCATTTTTAGTCTCTTGCAAAGCCGTTTTTCCTCATGCTTGGAGTCCCCGCTGTCTGCAGGGCTCTCGGGAGTGGCTGCCTGTCCCAGCCGGGCTCCCCAACGCCGGCCGCGGGGGCGGCTGGCTCGCCCAGCTCCGCTGCGGCTGCGGGCCGGCATCATTAAAACCAAAGTTTTCTGCCTCTGCTCTTTGAACCACTGACGTGTTGAAAGGAAGAGGGCACGTCTCATGTGCCACCTTTGTCTGGACTTGCAGAGAACCATCCGGCTGTAATGCTGAGGAAAATGCTGGTGTAAGCTGTTCAGTTGGAGGAAGGGCACGTGGGGGCTGGGGTGGCGGAGGAGGACGGCGCTGGTCTCGTGTCCTGCCGCCGCTCCCCCTTTGGAGCAGCCGACCCCTCTGAGCTGATCTGTACCATTAAGCAACCGGTCGTTCCCCGGGATAGTGTTGTTCTGCTTTAAACTTCCTATGTTGGATTGCTCGAGGATCGTGCAATGTGTAACTTCATTTCATTGTGTTTCTAGCGTAATTGTTGAAGGTGAAATATTGGCCTGTGTTAAGAATGCATTGACGTGTATCAGGGGTGAGGAAGGCAAAGTTACTTGGTGAATGGATGTTTGAAAGTGAGAGTTTCACTGCTGGAGGTTAAGTGGGGAGCACTGCCTACTCCCTTCTGTAAGGACGAAAACTCTGAATACTTGGGTTGGGAAATTTTTGATCACTTTAACTGATGATGAAGCAATTACTGAAATGCTTCTTGTATTCTGCAAAACAAATCCGTGTCAGGAAATATAGAAGTAAATGGCTTGGCTTTTGTCACCAAGCACTTAAGCAGCCTGCTAATGATTTGAAAAGGCAGCAACAGAAGCGATTGGAAAGAAAAATGGCGATGTCAAATTTATTTTCATGTTTCATCTGCTTCACTAGAATTAAATCTCAAAAATTAAGACAAATACTTACACTTAAGAAGAATGGCAATGACTCAGTGCCTTGATCAAGGAGAGTGACTTTGTTTTGCACGTACTACTTGCTGCTGCTTTTGACTGAAATTTTGGGGCATGTGACTAGACCAGGGAGTCTCTGTAGGAACCAGGCAGCACAGGACAGACGAGCCCTTCTGAGTCATCCAGCCCTGCTTGTTGGGTTAAATCCTAGTGAAGACTGGTTGTAGTTAATCTCTGTTCCTTGGTAATAGTCATCACTGAAATGCAGAGTTTAAGAAACTGCAGGAAAGTTTCTTTTCAGAATCCTGTGAAGCAAGTCTTATTTCACAGTAAAAAGTGGAGCTGCTTTTTTCTTGTAAAGACCAAGTAATCTGGAGAAGAACTACACAGGAGAACTCACTCCTTTATATACTGTTTTAGAGGGAACATGTGCCTCTACTGACAACGCTGGAAACCGCCTGAATTTTCAGACAAGATGCAGTTACCTGCCTTCAACAGCAGGGAAATGAAGCTGAAAGGAAAACCCTTGGAAAAGCAGCTTAACCTGTTACTCTTCTGAGAGTAGTGTCTCCCTTAAATACATCTTGCTCTTTTTCTTGTCATTTAGCAGTGGTTTCTGCTGGTGAAAGAAAATTATACAGAGTTTTCTTGATGACATCTTTTCTGTTTCCCTTCAAGGCCCAAATAATACAGTTTTACAGACCACCTTTTCAGCTAACAATAATTTTGGTTTTAATACCTGCTTGAAAGAACATATCTTCTATTTTACATGCCTGCTTGGTACTGAAAGGGTTCATGTTTTCCTGCTACTGTAGTTGCATGTGATGTTTCTAGGATCCTCAAAAAAAAATCAGTTTTAAGAAATTGCAGTAAATCATGAATTTTATAAATGAAGGAAATGACTTGGGAAACAAGGCACAATAAAAAGGAGACTGTTCAACATTGGTTGTTCCGAGTTTTGCATAAAGAACTGATGAAGGACATTGCTAAACAGTGATTCTGGGTGATTATGTTGTGAGACAGCAGTGAAAGTGTACACAACTCTCCTGTCTCTTCTCTTTCTGCAGCTCTACAATGGCAGATGGAGTTATGATTCTTCCTGTGCTGATCATGATGGCGTTTCCCTCCCCGAGTTGGCAAGGTGAGTGACCCACGTGGTCGGGCCGTAGCTGTCTGCTGCCAGAGGAGCCGCCTTCCAGTGTCAGCTCAGCTGCTGGATGCTGTGGAGCGGCGCCCGGCATCTCCTGCTCTCTTCACGAGCTGACAGCATGGGCACGTTCCTCTCGGGAAGGAGAGGCTTGCTTTTCCATTTCGAGTTGCTTCAAAGGGTGCTCGTTGCCCGTTAAAAAACTTAGAGCATGTGCAACTAGGCTAGGTCTCACCAGGGCCTGGGGAGGGAAATGAGGAGCCTTACCTGCATGACAGACTACTGAGCTTTTTCTCTGCGAAGGCTCTTGGGAGCATTTAGTATGGTGTTTGGTAACTTTTCCATAATTGCTCCGATAAGGTCTCTGAATATGTAAAGTGGCTTTTCCATAAATCGTTTACACAGTTGTGTGGACATAAAGGCTTTATGACATGCCGTGCGTTTAAGATTTGCCTCAGCAAAATGGGAGAAGGGTGTTTCTGCTGCCATGGAGAGGCAGGAATGGTTCATTTGAAGGTCTTCTGGATGTTTTGGGAGATGACCTCCTGAAAGATGCGTACTTGCTACTTGGCAAACAGCATTTTAAAAATATTGAATAGAGGTTTTCTGCGAGTAGCTTGAGTGTTCTCAGGTTTAAATTTTGAGCGACTCGAGAGGTGTATCTAGTGTTTGTTATGGCTTATCTGTGCTCGTCTGTATTTACATTGTGAAATCTTTCTGAACTACTCTGCTGAAATGCATTTATTTTCAAATGATGATGCAAATAATAAAGGGCAGAGTATATTAAATGGAATGGAATGTTAGAGTGGATGGTGGAAGGTGAAGATTGAAAACGCACAAAGGTCTAGTGGTTGACTTTAGTAATGTCTATGAAGAGGAAATTGAGACAAAACTTGAGAAGGGAAGAAGGCTGGATGAGTGTTTGTGGAAGTACATTCAACTGCTAATGTTATTGATACGTATTGTCTTGAAGTAGGGTTTGGTAGCAGTTATCACACTGTACCTTCTTATCACTCTTGACGTGCAGCTATCTGCTTCTCGAAAATGTTGTTTGTTTTTTTTTTTTTCCAGCTTTCAGAGCTGCTCTTATATTAAAAGTCTTGAAGTTAAACCACCTGCCTTTCACATTCGTGACGGCGGTAGCTGGAGATGAGAAACACATGGGAAAGGTGCATGTTAAAGTCTGCAGTTCTGGTTGCTTTCTCTCGTACAATGTGCAGAATCAGACCTTTGCGCTGTCTGCGTAGCGCAACCTGTAGAGCGGCACTGCCAACCCGCCTGCCCTTCCAGAGCTGCCCTGCAGGTTCCATCTTAGTTACTTGGCCTGATTCCACTTAAAAAAAGAGAAGTAGGTTCTGAGGCTCAAACACTATCTTTTTGTTGAAAAGATGCCACTAAGTGATCAGCAAGAGAAGAGTCACTAAATCCGTACCAAGATGTTTTCTTTCTCTTCCCTGCTGTGACACTGAGACTGGAGGTACAGCAAAGGCAGACCTGGACCAGATGTGCTACTGCACTGGGCTTCGGGCAGAGGAGAAGTGCGGGTGTGGTGGTCTTGCTGTCCGTCTCCCCGTGCCAACTGGACAGCTATGGAGAACAGTGTTTCCTGTTCACGGTGTGGAGCTGCTGTGCTGAGGGAGAGCTTGTACAACAGTACTTTCTAAAGAGCTCTGTGTTTGGGCCTGCATTTCTCTCCCACAGCAACAGAGCTCCTGTGAAAGACTTTGTAGAAGAGATGTGACAATCCTGCTTTGCTCTGCTGTTCTTGCTTTCTTTCCTTCCCTTCTCTTCACCTTGTACTTCCTATGGAGAGTTTTCTCTTTCTGTGAGCAATTACTTGTCTAACGCACGTAAACAATGCTGCTTTTTCCCCCTTTTTATGTCTGCTTGTAGTAATGCCATTCTGTTTCCTTTGGAAATAGTCTCCTACTTCCAAGCTGGGCGTAGAGCAGTGTTTGGGGAGGCAGAAAGACCTAGTGGACCCCCAGCAAACTTTCATGTATGTCCCTTCATCTAGGTTTTGGCTTCCTCACCCATCAGACCCATAGTAGCAAAGGGAGGACTCGCTGCTTTGTTCTGTGAGGGTCTAAGTGCAGCTTTGTGCTTCTGAGCCAGCAGCCTGTGTGAGGGCTGAGGGGTTAAGCTCAGAAGCCCTGACCGGCATTTGGAGTGCTTTCCAGGGGAGAGCGTGCCTTTGGAGAGCCTTGGAGGGAACGGAGGTTGATCCTCTGCCTGCCAGCAGGCCACAGAGATGGGTCTGGTGCGCCCTGACCAGCATGTTCTCCCGTGTGCATTGTCTGAGTTGTTTTAAAAGGTTGCTGGTTTGGGGGGGAATGTTTATTTTTGTCTTCCCTTTGCACAAAATAACAAAAAAAAACCCCAAAAGTGCAAAGCTGTCTGATTTCACCCACCCCCCCGGTGTACCTTATTGCAGATCAGTCCCTTTCCTTTCGGTGGGATTTGGACCAGGTTGGTGGTTGGATTTTTTTTTTTAAATTTTAACTTTTCTTTGGGTAGCATTCAGGGGCAGACTGACTATTTCTGTGTGGTCACTAGCTTTCAGAAGATGAGATTAAACATGACTTAAAAAAAAAACCCAACCCCATAACCAAACCCAACAGGTCAAACACTGTGTAGAATTCTAAGTGCAGAAACAGTCTCTTCCCTACTTGAGCTTCCAGAAATTCCTTGTATTCTAAAGGGCTATTGCAACGCTTACTTCTGCGTTACTTCTTTGAGCCCTGTAAAGTGGGGAAAGAGGCTTCTCTTTTTTTTTTCCCAGGACGATAAACCCCGACTACAGCAGAGCGCTTCCTAAATAACATAATGCCCGCGCTTAAGGGCGTGAGGTTTGTCACTCGGCAGTGGCGGTGCACAAACACCGCATCCCGCTCCCGGAGGCAAGGTTCGGAGCAGGGTGTGTGGAAGGCCGCCAATGCTGCTGCACTCCCTCGGGACGGGGGAAGGTGCCCGGCCATAGTCTGCTCTGGCTGCCGCGGCTTCCCTGCCGAACGCAGCCCCCCTCCCGGGCGGGAGAACTGGGCAGGCTGGACAGGGTCTGGTGTCACACCGTGGCCGGAATGTGTTTGGAGCTACAGAAATGCCATAGACTCCTGTCTGGTGTGTGGGAAGCCAGCTCTGGGACAGCCAAACCCGCTCTCCAGCAGCTGGGCTGGGGAGGCTGCCCTCTGGAGCCGGGACCTCCGTCCAGCGTGGAGTGTCCAGCTGGCTGTCGGTGTCCGTAGCACTTGTGCGTGTTCTGGTTTAGGTTTTTCTGTAGTGTGGAGAACGATAATGAGGCTAAACAGGTGTTCCTTAGTGCTGGGAATTTTGAAGGCTTTTGTTAAATTAATAAATCCTATGTAAAATAAGTTGTTATAGACTGTCCAGGGAAGTGGTCGAGTCGCCATCTCTGGAGGTATTTATTTAAAAGACGTGTAGACATGGTACTTAAGGACACGGTTTAGAGGTGGACTTGGCAGTGTTAGGTTTATGATTGGACTCGATGTGAAGGTTTCTTCCAACCAAAATGATTCTGTGATTATTGCTATGGCTGTTGTATAATGCTTGTTACTGTATGCCTTGAGAAAGAGGGGAAAAAAAAAGAACTCTGAATAGAGTAATCATCTCTATAATGAGTAATCATCTCTATGAGCTTATTCTTTTCTGTCTCCCTGAAATGGCCTACAATCGTAAAGGGGAGGCAACCACCAAAAAAGAGCTGTCTAATGTACGATTAAATGGACTCTAAAGAGATTTTCAGTTTTTCCAAGTCTGCTTTCCTTCACCTTTAGTTCATTTTGATACGAAGCTCTGGCAGATCCCACTTCTTCCTTCAATCCTAGTCATTTAAACAGAAAAAGAATATTACTGCTTTTAAATGTTTCGGCCTTCGAGTGTGAAGTCCTTTTACCATTTCATCCTACCAGAGATTCCAGCAGCTCCCTGAAATAAGCCTCGCCTGTGATTTGTAACCTTTCTAGTTTGATTTCAAGGTTTCCCATTCCCGGGCCAAGCCTAGCAGCAAGCCTACGAGGGGATAACCCCCGCAGCAGGGCTCCGAGTGGTCTCGGGCTGGGAAGCTGGGTGCCGGTGGCTCCGCGGGCCAGGACCGGCCGCCCGTGCCCGAGGTCAGGCGATGACTGCAGTGTCTGTGCACGTTCAGCATGCGGCCGGGGGTCACGGCGCGGCCCCGCTGCACAGCTGAGGGCCGGGCTGGAGGGAGCTCCCCGGGGACCTTCCCTGCCTGCGTGGGGACTGGCCGTGCAGCTCCTTTTGGCTCGGCCTCGCTTTGCAGAGAAGAGGCATTGATTAGATGGAATGGCTCCTCTTAAACTTAGGCCGTTGCAAAGTCCTGTCTGGTGAGCTTAGGACTGGTTTGTTTAAGGCTCGTTTGCCTCTGGCCACCTGGCTTCTCTTTGCAGCCACATACCAAGAGGCCTTGTGGTGTCACGTAGGTTCTCTCTCCGGACGCTCGCTTGCACGCGTGTGTTAAATGCGTATTGCATCTGTGGAGGGAGGTGTGCTAGTCTTCATCTGCAAGGGAAACTGAGTCCTGCCAGGAGCGGGGAGTTGGATTCGATGATCCTAAAGGGTCCCTTCCAACCTGAGCTGTTCTATGAGATTTTGAAAGGGAGGGTGTGCAGGGGTGGTGCATTGCTGGTAGGAAGTGATTTGATATTGTTAAAGCCCTTCCTTGAAAGGTACATCTAATATAATTAGGTTTATCTTTAGAAAGAAAATTGAGATGGTATGCGGTTTTACTTTTTGTTTTGCCTTTTAAAATTACTCAATATTTGCTGACCATGTTGTTAACATAGGCATTTTTTCAAGTGAAAGGTAGTTGAAGAAATGGTGTTGTAGTGCCAGTAAGAAAAGGTGACCAAGTGACTATTTGTACTAGCTGTCTCAAGGGGAAATAAATCACTCTTCTAAACGTGAAGACATCACCTCAACATGAAGATGTGTTACCAGAAACATCTGTAGTGTTTCTCCTTGGAGAGAAGTTGTTTGGTATTTTCCCAAAAAAGTTCACAGTGTTTACAGTCTAGGAACTGGATCTAAAATATGAAATAAAACTGTCTAGGTCAGTAACTCGTGAAATAAGTCATTTACTTCTATGTAAAGTTTGTCTTTTGTTTCCTTGCATCTGTACGTTTCCGTTGTGGGCCCACGTTCCCAGAGCCTTGCAGTTGGGGGTCCCGGGAGTGCGGGACGGCCAGGGCTGCGTGCCCACACACGTGTCCTGCGCAGACCCCCAGAGGGTTAAGCACTGCGCCTCCCAGTGCACCTGGTTACCTGTGGAGCTCTTGGTTCTTGTTCTGTTGAAATACCTAGATAATTAGTCGGCACTCCTAATTGTTGACTTTCACAAAGTGAATAAGCAAACAAAATAAAGGCGCTTCAATTTTGACACTTGCATAATAATGAACTAATAAACTAGTTAATGAGAAGTTATGCAAATCGCTGTATCTTTGTGTGGCAAGTCAGATTTTTTGTGTGTGTGTGCACAATCTGTACAGGCCAGAAGTGCAGCGATGAGTCTCTGTTACCAAACGAACTATGTGCAGTGAACGTGTTTAGGTAATGGGAGTATTTTTAAGCTTGGCTTCTTGCCTGCGCGTGGTGCCTGGCTGCTACACGCGCCGTTGGCCTGCCGGCCCTCCACGCCTGGGGCTGTGGAGCAGACGCTTGCCTCTGAGCGAGTGTGTTGGGGCAGGCGATCAGCTTCAGCCCTAACCTCTTGATTGCAGCTGGCCTGTGGTGTTTGCTGGTCCCGTCTGTCCTGCCGACTCGCTGGCACAGCCGTGCTCGTGGGAAGTATCGCCCAGTCCAGCTCTGCCTCTGCTGGGGAGTCACCGCATGCCGACAGAAGTGGGCTTTGCCCGTGCAGCTGCCTCCACTCTGGGGAAGCGTGGCTAGGCTGTCCAGGCCTTCATAGCTGGCTTTGTGCAGGGGGAGAGCGCTTGGAGGCTGTAGGACAGTGTTCAGCTTGTGCGTGCTCACTGAAGCATCACCCCGTCCGTCTGCTCTCAGGCTTCTGACCTGCAGCGCTGTCTCAGCTGGTGGCCTGCAGAGGCAGGAGTGGGAGGACAGGGCCAGTGCTTTGGCTGGTTCTGCAGCCGGAATAAGCCTTCCCGAATGGGTAAAGCTCACCCTGTGTTTTAACCGCGTGTGGCACTGCAGGAGCGTTGCTGAGGGAGGGGCTGGCTGGCACACGGTAGGCCGGAAAACTGACTAAGAAAGGGAAGGAGCAGTTTGGGCATAGGGAATAGTAACGGTCATGAAGGAGAGTGTCTCCAGTCCAGCCCAGGAGGTCTTCACTGGAAATGTTTGAATGTTACAGCAGATAATTGGTCTGTGTTGGTCTGTGGACCCATCAGGGTCTGCAGCAGTTCACATGTACGTCGTCAGCGTTACTCCGTCTTCATGCTCTATCAAACGTATCCACAGCCTGTGCATCGTGTTGGATCGCTGGCCCTGCCTGCCGGCTGGAGCGGACCTTTCGGAAGACGGCTGGCGTGTTTGGGGTCGCAGTGCCTCAGCTCATCCTTGGTCAGGGACATCAGGTTTGGTCTGCACGGGCTGGCTGGCTGCCCGGGGGCGGCAGCGCCGGCTCTGGCCCATTTGGGTATTGCAGAGCTCCTCGGAGGTGGCACACGAGGGTTTTCTGCCAGAACCGCGCTTCTGGCCTGCAAGGGGCTTGCTGGGTCCTGGGGGGTCCTTGGGTCAAGAGGAGAGCTAACCATTTGGCTGGTCAGGCTGCAAGCCAGGGGAGTTCACCTTGTGGGATGGCTCTCGGGTGGTGGGTTAGTTGTCCCGCTCTGTGTAGCAGCCACTCCTGCTGTTGGTGGCTGAAAGGGCTGTTCCTGCGGCCTGCAGACCTCCTCAGCTCCCTCCTCGTGGCCGGTGTTCGACGGTGACAGCAGAAGCGCGTCGCTGTCTGGGAGGTACTGAGGTCCGTGCTGCTGAAGGGCTGCCTGGGGAAGGCTGCCCTTGGCACCGAGGGTACCAGTCTGTACCAGGAATGGCTCCCGTACTCCTCTGAGCGGGTCGTGGCCATGCCTCGGGACGTTCCCTGGAGGGCTCTGGCTTTGGATGCCTTCGATGGTTCCAGCCACACGAACCAAGATTAAGGGCCTGTGTGTTCCGATACCAGCTGTGTTCTGCTGTTGTGGGAGGAGAAGGAACAGAACTTTGACTATAGCAATGTTTGGCATAATTTTTTTTTTTCTTTTTAAAAAGAAGTTCCACAGAATTAGTGAACTTATTACTTGGTATGTGTGTGACTGGGATTGTGTATACCAGTACTTGAAATCAATGTGACAGACACTGTCTGATTTCAGGGTTCTTTCCCTAATTTAGTTTTTGTTAGTGGTTCAAAAATGGAAAATAATATTTGTGTATTTGTTCATTGCAGGAGGAGGGGAGGAAAACAAAGCAGAAAACAAACTGAGTTACATTCCCAGTGGGCAGACTCTAATGATAGGCTTGAAAAGGTCCAGCACATGATAGGCTCAGCTCCTATTTTAGGAGTGTATTTGTGGCTGAAAATTTTTCTTGTGTGTTAGAGCTGAAAAAGAGAACGTAAATATGAGTTAATTTGCTGTACACGTGCGTGTGTATGTACGGGATGTGTGCCACAGAGAGCAGCGGCTTGTCCTGCCCTTCCCAGCTGTGCCTCTGTTCTCAGCCATCTGTGAGCGCGGGTGGCGCTGCGCCCCCGCGGGCACCTCTGTCTTCCAGGGAGCTGAGGAGCGCGCCGTGGTCTCCATTAGCTGATCAGGAGTGGCGTCCTCTCCCGCAGAGACTGGAGTGACCCAGCGCGGCGCGTTTGTTGAAGGCACGTGCCATTCCTGAGAGCGGCCGCGTGTGTGCTTCCGCGCAGAGTGGGCTTGTCCTGGCTGGGCATCTCCGGATGCTCCACTGAGGATGCTTAGAAGTTTAGTTTCCTACTCTCTGTGTTCTCCTGAAGGTTCTTCCTTTTGCTTAGCTGAAGCATCTGGAGTTGGGAGGGAGGTGTTGTACCTGCTGACAGCGTGTACTGCTGCTTGCTTTACTTCTTAGCACCATGGTTACTCAGACTCACAAGGTACTCCTCAAAGGCTTGTCTTCCTGGGAAAGCTGGTCCAGATTTACCTTTCAAGCAAGCTAGTTAAACCTGCTAAATCCTGCGTAGCTGTGTCTGCTGCAAATTTAAATGACCTTGGTTTGATTTAGTTAGTCACTTCTGGAATGCTCGAGAATATATTTCTACATTGAAATAGTGAATGCAGTTTAACAAATCTGTTTTAAATTTACACTTTGTTTGTTAAGGTTTTTTTTAGGTGATCCTCCTATGTTGTATACCTGCAGCAGTGTATGTGCGAGAGGTGATGTAAAATATCACTGAACTCTTGAAATCTGAGTACTTGGAGTGGGCGGATACGACTGGTATTTGTTTGATGGTGCAAGCTCATATCTTTGTCTTGCTGAAACAGCTGAATTAGTATTGTTAGCTTCTGCTTGGTGGATCTTCAGCGGTATTTCTTCCTTAAACATAAGGTTTTATTGTCTAATGATTTCATTATCTCTGTATAACTGACGCTATTAAGGACACGATGTGTTTTCCTCAACTGTCCCTCTTACAGATGATGAACTGAAGCTAAATGTGGTCCGCTACGAGTGTGTGTGTGAAGGCATGTCCTGTGGGAATGGAGATCGTTGCCAAGGCCAGCAATGCTTTGCTTCCCTGAGCATTAACGACGGTGCTAAGGTTTACCAGAAAGGCTGCTTCCAAGTCTACGAACAAGGGAAAATGACATGCAAAACCCCTCCGTCTCCTGACCAAGCCGTTGAGTGCTGCCAGGGGTACCTGTGCAACATGAATATCACTGCGCAGTTGCCCTCTTCTAAAGGTGAGAGGTTAATTAATAAATAGTGAGTTTTGAGAAAAAAACAGAACCTTTTTTCTATCTGATACGATGGGAGCGAGATGGCTTCAGTGCTAGTGACAGTAAGGGCTTAATCGACGCAGTAAGGCCCTGTCTCCTTTGATCCCCACCCTGGGACCCACTGGCACACGTCTGGTGTGCACAGGTTGAGCGATCCGTGTTTCCAAGTGAAGGGTGGGGGTTAGGAGCACAGTCAGGGGCAGGACCGAGGTGCTGCCTGCCAGTGCGTGGCACCGTCCCAGGTGGGGTTTGTTCTGGGGGGCCGGGTGGCTCTGAGCTCTGCAGGGAGTCACTGCGGAGCATCCTGGGCGCTTGCAGCTCGCCTGTGTCACGGCCTCTCTTTCAGGCTAGGTGGTTACCCAGGGAAATGTTGGTGTCAGTGCTACTGGTTTTAAAGACTTTCTTTGGGAATATGCGAATTTATTGTTTTCTCTCTTTTTTTTTCCTTCTTTTTTTTTCTCCCTCTCCTTTCTAAGGGCAAACCTTTCAAGGAGAAGCTGCAGGTTACAGCATGGAAACACTAATTATTGTTATACTGGCTCCTGTGATAGTGTTGATAGTTTTTTCTGCAGTAGCTGTGCTGATCATCCGGAGAATACAGAAAAACCATATGGAGAGGCTGAATTCTAGAGATGCAGAATATGGCACAATTGAGGGACTCATCGCATCAAATGTTGGAGACAGCACGTTGGCAGTAAGTAACCTGTGCGCGTGGTGGAGATCTCTGTGAGCTTTCTTCACTTCCAAACTGCCCTCTTGTACTCATCAGCCGTGGCCACGTCAACAACGGGACCTTTTGCTGCCAGGGGACACTACCTAGCCCCAGGGCTTCTGTGGTGACGTTCCCGTGCTTGCAAAGCCATAGTTAAATGAAATTTAACCGAAAGATAGCTTTTGCAAATAGAGCTCCTTTGACCTGGAGGATTTCTATAAAGCGTAGTCAAGCTGTTTCTGTTCCTAGAAGCAATGTCTAAACAGCAAAACAGACGATGTCTGATTGTTGGGTAGCTGGAAGTGATACGAAAGGTGTAAAAAAAATTTCTGTGTGTTTGATATATGAAAGACAGCCCGAAAGGTTGGAAAAGATGTGGTGCTAGGGGAAGCAGAAAATACAGATACTTTTAACTTTTAAAAACTTCAAACCTGGCTCCCGTGATCTTAGTAGAAGGGATCTTGTATAACTAGGAAATTAGTGAAATTTTGTAGGTAGGAATTTTTAAGAAATGAGAACTGCTTACTCGAAATCCAGTTTTTAAAATATGTTTGTGTTCACATAGTCACTGGAAAATAAAATGACACGGGGAAGTGTTTGCTTTGTAAAGTCTTAATGGGTCTTACCCTTTCACTTGAGGCTGGAAAAAAGTGTTCCCAGCAGCTTTTCCCATGTTTTATCAAAACTGAGCAAGTAAGGCTTCAGAGGCAGCTTGAGTGTTTGTTTCTGAAACCAGTGCAAAGAGAAGTTTTCTCCTCCTTGCTTTTCTAAGATACCATCTCTTCAGCATTAAGAGGCCGGAAAACATTTTCCATTTTGGTGCGTTCCCACCATAATGTGCTTTCACTGCAGGGTTGAAAAGTGGCTAAAGAAAAATGATCCAAAACACAAATATTTTTAATAATATGCTACTAAATACATTGACTGGGTATTTTCTTTGTGGTTTGGACTGTGTTTCTTTCTGTAGGAGGGAGAAACTGAAATGGGTATTTCTTTAGGTGAGGAATAACCTTCGATATCTTCCTTAGAAAGTGTTGGTTACCACTAACTAGGGAAGCAGTTTTGACTATGTCTAAAAAAAAAAATAGCCCGGAAAACAGTTGCCCCTCCTCACCTGAAGGCTGACAACTGCTTTGCAAGCCCAGCTGTGGGAGTTTATTAAAAGAAGGATCTGTGGGACTGCTCAAAAACTGAAACTATTTGGGGGAGCTGGAAACTATCTCTTGCATCTCTTTGTTTTGAGGCAAAGGTGATTCTATAAAATCCTGCTGTAAGTAAGTGCTGCAAGAGTTGCTTGGAAGACCCTCTTGTTCACAAGACAGTATGCCCTGACAAGTAAGTTTTCAGGGTTTGAGATGACCATTGGAGCAGGGAAGATTCTTCTTTAAGGAAGACTGGCTTAAAACTGAGCAATTAGGCTCCTGGTCATCTGAATGTCCCAAAATGTGTTTTTGAAACAGCTGATGTGGGCAACGAGTAAGTAAACCAATGCTTCCACTAGGAGGAAGAGCCTGGTTCTCTTGAGGGGGTGGGGGGTATGATGGAGACACACAACGTGGCAAGGGGTAAGGAGAGGATGGATGGGAATCAGTTGTTCACCTTCTGCAGTACAGTAAGGGGGGAGGCGTCAAAATTACCATGTACAAGCAAGGATAAATGTAAGGCAGGTAGTTCTTAACACAGTGGTAAGGGAACCAGTGGAACTCCTTGCCCAACGGTTTTTCTACGTGCTATAGGTTTGTACACATTCTGTGTGTTGTTAAGCACGTTTAAAAAAAAAAATACAGCTAAGGAAGTCCCCGAGCTGAATGTGCTTGGAGGCTGGGCGAGCATTAGAGGGAAGTATCATGTATGGTAAAGTATTCCTATATTTGCTCTAATTCACTCCACTTCTAGTACCCCAATATTCTAATACCCCAATGTCCCATGATACTTCCAAATGTCTAATACTCCTGTACATCTGCTGCCCTAATTCCCTGCACTTGTGATAAAGGGTGTTGCTTTTGGGTACGGTCAGAGGCAAGATACAGATCTAGAGGGACCTTAGGGTGGCCACTCCGATAACAGAGCTTTGGCTTCTAAGTGCGAGCTTCATTGGTAAGATGGGGTGATGGAAATTGCCTCCCTCTTGGGGCTCGGAATGTCCAGGCACTTGGTGTAACTGCAGGATCAAGTGTGGTGCAAACTGCAGGACTTTTCTACTACTGCCTTGCTATTTTCCTTCACCTTGGCCCTATATAAACTGTACTTGCTAATTTTTTCAATGCTTTTGGTCCTCTTTAATTAGCCCGCAAGGCTTGATTTTGTGTTAACTGCCAGGTTTGATATGTTCACCATGAACTAGGCATGTGTGCAACTGGTTATCTCTCTTTTAAGTGCTGACTTCCAGCTTTTACCAGCCCTTATCTCTTATCAGTGCAAGACCATTTCCATTCCATTTGCAAACCTTTTGCACTTCAAGTCATTTAATGTTACCTGGAAACAGTGATAAAACCTGAGAAGAGTAAGTCAAAATTCTTTTAAAAAGAAATCGGAGAAGTTGCTAACTGTAAGGGCTTGGTCTAATGGAGCTGTTTTGTTCTTAGCTGCCAGACCCTCAGCTTTGAGTACAGTGCCCTGGTGTGCCTCTTGAGTGTTGGAGATGTGAAAAAAAAAAAAAAAGATAGTTCCTTGTTTCTAAATGTTGATCTAACAGGAAGTCTTCCTTAAATTCCAGATTTTTCTTCTCTATTGTGCCTTTTAAATTGCCGGGTTTGTTACACATTAGATTAGTTTACATTTAGGATTAGTCTCCATAGTGTAGCAAATGCTCGAAGCCCTGAGCTTCTAGTGGGGAATGGAAAGAGCTGTGGCCTCTTCAAATCTTGTTTTTACAGTCACTGCTGATAAGTTTGGTGTGTTTTTTTTTTTTTTCCCCTCTGATACAAGCAGGAAGGAAAATGAGCTCTCAGTTTGTGTTAGAAAGCAAAATAGCAGTCTCCTGTCATTCTTAGATTATCATCTTCTTGAGCACTCATTAAAAAATTGTTAGGAGAAATGAGATTTTGTTGGATTTGGTTAAAGCCCAGTAGGGCAGTTTGCTGGAAATATTAGCGAGTTGATTATGCTTGTGCTTGTTTTTAATCCTATTTTCCTTTGTAAAGGAAAGAAAAGTCCAGTAATACAGTTGTTAATGCTTTGAACTAGTACGGAAGTCCTAGCAATAGGAGTAGCTGTGTATTAGCACTTCAAAAGGCTAATAGGATTTTAACATTCAATTAGAATCTCTCTCATGGTTTTTTATAAGCTTACAGTTTCTGGTTTTCATGCACTAAAAATACCAGAAACTGATTAAAAACTTTTAAGAAAGACTTGTTATGGAAAACTTTTTGGAGTATCAGTGACATGTCTGGTTTAGGTGAACACAGGCAATACCCCTATCACCTTTTTTATTTTAAAACTGTTTTCAGTTATAAGTAACCGTACCAAACTTGAATGGTTTGGGCCAGAACTTCCCATGACTCTTACCTACCACAGAATGCCTTTTTTTTTGGTGAGTGGGGGACTGTTCATCTGGCCTGGTTCAGCCACTTTCGGGAAAATTATGTGGGTGTTGTCTTTTAAAGAAGTTCTAATTTGGGTCAGGGGCTTGGAATTTATTGGAGAAACCCCTGTGGTGCCAGGCTGCTAGTGGCTATTCTTCTCGGGGCTCTGTTTCGAGGCGCTTCAAAAGCTCATGGTTTAGAAGATCTGTTCGTAGACCTGTGGGTCCGTTCCCCCGTGGATGCAGGCCTCCACGTGGAGACAGGGCACGTGTCGTCCCCGAGCCAAGGCACCTTTGCGGTGTTTCTGGCTGCAGGGCCGCGGTGAAGAGGAGGGTGTGCAGCTCTCAGGTCTCTTGGTGGGGGCAGTTGCTGACTGTAGGGGGCCAAGGGAATTGTGACAGCACGGGCAGAAACAGGAGCTGGGGTGGGAAACAGGCAAGGTGCGTATGGCCAAGGAGAAAGGGAAGGAAGGTTGGAACTGAGAGGGAGGGAAGAGATGAAAATGGGATGGAGGAAAAGGACAGAAAACTGGATGGGGGCAGAATGGGCAAAGGAGAGTCTGTAACAGTTCTGTCCTTTCAGTTTCCCGTGTAACGCACGTGAAGTAAACTCTAACCAAAGCATGCATCTCTCTTCCCCGCTGAGGGCAGGGGGCTTCTGCAGCTAGCAGTTGTTGCCCTGCTGCAGGGGAAGTATCTACGCTTTACCTGCAGATCCTAACCTGGCAGATTGCCTGTGTCACAGCAAAGTATTGCATGATTTGGTTTCTGTTCTCTGTTACTACATTAACTTTTAGCCCTCGTGTTTGGGGTTTAATTGCTAAAACAGAGGTGTGACATTAAGGTGCCATGTGGTTTTCTGGGCATCTGTGTGAGTGTGACAGGTATGATAAAGGGCCTCTCGGAGACCTGTTCTTTGGGGTGGTGTCTGGGGGTATGGAGGACAGCGAGGTACACGAGGACATCCCAGATAGCACGGGACATGGTTAGCTAGCAGTGTGGCAGTGGTTCCCACTTGTCACAAGCGAAGCGGGGCCGGCAGGAGCAAGGCGGTGAAGATGGCTGCAGCAGCCTTCCTCCTGCTCTGGTACTGCTGAAGCTCCGCTTTGCAGGGACGCGGTTTCCTAAAGCCACGCTCAGGCTCGGAATCGGGGAGGGTGGCGTGTGGGCGATGGGGGCCAGGGGTGCTGTGCGAGCCCACCCACTGGCACAGCCCTGCCGGGGTTGGGGGGTTGGTTTTGGGAACCTGCTGCGGCGTGCTTGGGGGGGCTCGGCAGGAGAGCCCAGCAGCCCAGCCAGCCTCCAGCCCTGGCAAAGGCGTCGACCTTGAGCGCCTGGTTCAACACTGAAGGAAAGCGTTTGGCCAGCAAGGGATGCTCTTCCCGTACTGACGACTCGCACCGCTGCTGCGGCTCCAAGCGGCACAGCTGGCTGGTGGCCTCGGTGGCCAGGCTGGGCAGGGGCTGGCGGGCAGCAGGGCAGGCCACCGGTTCGTCTCTGTGGGCTGCAGGTGCCCTGGAGGCATCCCTGGCCGTGAGCCCCAGGACTCGTGGGCCGTCACGTCTCCGCTTGGCTCGCACGGACCCAAAAGACACCCCTCTGTGGGGTGTTCTGCAGCAATACAGAGTCCCCTCCCTGTCTTACTTCAGCCAGAATGGCCAGTGAGCACAGATTGTGTGCAGGCCAGGGGTTAAAAAGGCGCTGACAAAGCGAATCGTATCACCGGTGGAGGTTGGCTTTATCTGCCTTGCCATTTCAATTAGAAGCTTCCAGCTGTGGCTGTTTCTGGAGTCTGCTCATAGTAATGAAGTTCAAAGTTCTGAATGTCTCTTTCTAATTCATGTTTATTCACAGGGATTCGTAAAATAGATTTTGAAAGTGTCCGATACCACAGATCGGTGGGGCTGGGACACGAACTTAGCTCTAATTGGTGAAAACGCCTTTGTGTTGCTGTGCTCTTCTAGTCACCTTTGCTAGGAAGAAACCACAGGTGACTGGAAGAACAGGAAAAGTCTGCAGGAACATTCAGAAGTAAATGCTGTTTTTCTTTCTGCTAACTGTATAGGGAGGAAGATGTTAAGTACGGAAGTCAGAGAAAGTGAGTTTATTTGGTTTTGAGGCAGCTCAGATTATTGCAAGACATAGAAAACTTTGGTAAAAAAAAAGTTGATACTAACCTATTTGAAATAGGTGACGTACGGAATTGAGGGAGCGTAAGCTAAGTAACAGAACCACAAAGTGCTGAAAAAGGGTGGAATTTCACTACAGAGGATAGCTCGTAGGCTATGAGTGAGCTTCCAGGTTCACAGGGAGTAAATTTATTGTCATTTATTTGTTGAACAAAGTGATACTGTAATGCCAAACACAAGATAGAGACAGAATAAGAAATCTGAGACTTAAACAGTACTTGATTTGTTTGCTGTTCCTTGTGTTGTTTGTAAAACTTCCAACAGAAAGTGATCAGGCCTAAGTCGTAGCTCTCCTACCAGCCTCCTTTACGCATGAGATGTTCTCTGAGGTGGTAAAATCTTGCAAAGAGCGTTCACTGACCATCTGTACGGTGATGGCAGCAGTATGTCTTGATCCTGAGTGACCAAGCGGGATCACCAGAGCTGTTGAGATACCAGTGAGCTTTAACTTAATCTGTGCCGTGGTGTACCTTTGTGTATTTAAATGGGGAAAAAAAATGTCATTTCTCGTAGGTTGTAAACTTCTGCTTTTCCTTCTGAACAGGATTTACTGGACCATTCCTGCACATCTGGAAGTGGTTCTGGACTTCCTTTCTTGGTACAAAGAACGGTGGCTCGCCAGATCACGCTTGTAGAGTGTGTAGGTTAGTATAATTCTTGTTCACACCTAGTGTCAACTCTTGATAATGAACACAGAGAGAAAGTTCTATCTCCCATCCGCATCAACTGGTTTTGCTCGGTTGCTTATACAGTACATGAAACTTTTCAGGCTTCAGCTTACGGAACATACTTGGGTTTGGAAAGTGAAGTGAAAAAATTCCGTTCAGATCTTTGCAGAAGAAAGGGGCAAATATCATCTGTGACTTATGATTGAAAAACTCAAGCTTTGTTCAGTCAGGCGATGTTAGAAAATACAAACTAGGCTTGTTTGGGTACTTTGTAAGCTAAATAAACTATGTTTTTAGAAAAGCCAGCTCAATTTGAAGTTTGAAACTGTCAAACTGAAACAAACATTTGTTCATTAAATGGTGTTTAATTAGAAATGGATTATCTGGAGTTGAAGCATCAAGCAAAGTGGCCAATGTGTCATTTAAAACCAAAACCCTGTTGTTTTGTGCCATTACAATGGGAACAGGAATATTTTGTAGCTTGCTTGCTCTGCACTGTTGCTTCGGGGCCGTGCAGTCAATGATGCGCTGTTGCTGCTCTCTTCCTGCTTGAAGAGAGAATCTCTCAAGTAATTCTTCATTAAAACTCTTCTGGGTCTTCAGTTTTTGCAGAACTTCAGTGTTAATTTTAAGGATCCATTAAATTTTTCTTCAGCATATATATATTATTAATCAAATAGTGTTAAATTTGAGTTTAGTAATTTTAGGAATCATTTGGGCTAAAGATACCCCGAGGCAGTGACATTGAGCCAAGGTGCCGTACTGGCACTAAAGAGGTGAGGAAGGTATGATAACGATTGATTCTAGGAGGAAAAAAAGACTATTTTGAGTATGGTTTGTGCTGCTGCTGCTTCTGTGATTTGAACTCAGAATGGGTTAACGCCTTCCTGTAAGTCACTAGAAGTTTTAACTCATCAGGGTGTTAAATCAAGCCTGACTAAAACAGATCCATCTGTGAATCTGCAGGGACTGGGCCCCTACATTTTACCAGTGGTTCTTTGCTTTTGGCTTATTGTCTGTATTGAGTAGACACCATTCACACTTGCATTAAATCCAAGTGTACGTCCTCTGACACACTGTGATTTCCCTTCATCAGAAACTGGGGGGTACGATTTGGGTGATGATTTTGCCTGCAACAGAGAGAGATCCTTTTGTGCGTGTGTGTATGTGTGAATAAGGGTGTCTCTGGAATTATGCCTGCTCCCGGGTTAACTCAGGCTGGCACTGTTTCCAGAGACCATGAGTTTTAGCCTGGATAGCAGAACCAGATGAGAGTGCTTGTGCAGAAAGTCTCTTCTGGGTGGCAGCATTGAGACATCAGCGTTGGGTGTCTTTGGTTGTACCCGCTGCTGGTCCATATGTGCCTCTGAAGAACATGGATGGGCAGAATGTGGCTATTTGTAGTTGTTAGATCTAGCACAATCCACGCACGAACCCCGAGGCTGTTGTACTGGGGTTGTGGTGAACATGGCAACCAGAGTTCCTCCAGTGTGCCTTGTCCGGGATGTTGCTTTGCTCTTGGGTACTTGGTAATTTCATACATTCTGCTAAGCTGTTTGGGTAAAAAGCTTGGTATGCAGACAGTGTGTCCCGATCTCCACAGGAGCGGGGTGGGGTTTGGGGGATTTTTTTTAATCCTTTTTTGTTTGTGGTTGGTTTTTTTGGGTGGGTTTTGTTTCTTTTTTAAATGATCATTCTGCATTTTGTGTGTCTGGCAGTGCTGACTGTTTTTGCAAGGGCTGATGATGGAATAGAAATGCAAAGGCTGTATCCCCAGCATTGTATATCCTTCCTGTCCTCCTGACCTCAGAATTCATAGATCTGTTTGTATCGTGTGCCCTGACCTTGCAGCATGCTGCCGGAGTTGCTTAAGCCACAAGTGCTTTCATTGCAGGTAGTTGAATGGCTACACCTGCCCGGCACGCTGTACGAACGTGCAAGGAGAGATCCATTCTCTCGGAGCTTGCAGTGGAAACAAACAGGAGAAATTAAGGGACAGTGGAGCACAGCGTGACTGTAAAGTGGTAAAAAGTGTCTACAGGGGTGGTCGAACTACATCAGCGTGATATTTGGGCCATGACTGTTGAGTTTCCATGCCATTAGCTAAGCCTGTCCTGCCCTGTGAAGACTGTTAGTTGACAACTTTTACTATTGTGTTTTTTTTTTTTTTTCCTCCTCCACCAGGAAAGGGCCGTTACGGAGAAGTTTGGAGGGGTCAGTGGCAAGGAGAAAATGTTGCTGTGAAGATCTTCTCTTCCAGGGATGAAAAATCCTGGTTCAGGGAAACTGAATTGTACAACACTGTATTGCTGCGGCACGAAAATATTTTAGGTAAGTAGGACAACCTATTCGTGTATCCCAGTGTAGCTGGTGTAGAGGTGAGTTAGACGAACAGTTCGCTTGCAAGCACTGCAGATTTGCCAGATATCTTGCAGTCTTTGAGATTAGGTTCTTATGTTTGTGATAAATAGTTGAAGGGAGGTTTTAAGGGAGAGACTTGCCAGCAGGGTGGTGAAATCCGAGTCTCAGCTGGAGAAAGTGTGGTAGCGACCATGAATCATTGTCCTCCTGCAACGTTCTACCAAGAAGCGGTCAACCAGGTTAATCAGCTGTTGGCAGCACAGGCTGCAGAGAACAACAGAGGTGCCACAGCCCAACAGGCTCGGAGTTCACCCTTGCAGTGCTTGTTGCAGGGCAGCCAAATGGCAAGAGCACTGTGCAATGTGTTAGGTGGAGAAGTTCTGGTGGATCGATGCTTTTTCTGTAGCTTCAGTTTAGCTGGGAGAAATAAAGGGAGAAAAAGTGGGGAGGAGTTTATAATGAGATTTAAATATTTGAATACTTTTCCTTGTGCCTGAATAAAGTGCAGTATGAATCCATTATTTTCTTCTGTTTAGCTGTTCTGCTCAGGGTCAAACTAAGCTCCTTCGGTGTTGAAACTTCAACTATAGTTGCCCCTTTACGATATATCTCATTTCCCTGTAAATATGAAAGTACGATGATTTGTAATCTTTTGCATCCCTTGTACCTTGTGTGCTCAGTTCTGAGAGCTTAGAAAATGGCTTTTTTGTGTTGTGAGCCACGGCTGAAGTTTAAGAAGCCCTTCTGATTCCTAGCAGACATGACTGTCTTTTGCTGAGGTGCCACCTTTACACATAAAAGCAGCAGCATGTTTTTGGAGTGCTGACATTCCCTCACCCGCAATCTGATCGTGTTCAGTCAGCTTTACTAGGGGTCCTTATTCTTGTTTCCTGTCGGAGAATATCCCTTGGCTCTATATCACCCTGCTAGACGTTTGTCTAATGTTTTCTGAAGCACTTCCTTTGTTACTACAAAAATAATTTGGTGGTCCTCCTGAAATGTGAATTATTGAACCTTCCTTCCCGAGAGGGCAAGTAACTTGGCTGAAATTACATTACACATTTCCCATGTTCCTCTGTCTGCATCTAGTCTTTCTGGATAACTGTCAAATTTGTTGGCTATTTTATAGAGTTTTTTAGATGCGATATTGAACAATATCACAGATTACAGAAGTGTCACTTTGTGCAGAAATCTGACTTCAGGAGAGAAAGTAGTGAGTGTTCTTTCTGACAAATGCCATATGTGGGCTTTTAGTAAACATGACTTGCTCCTCTAACTTGGGAATAGAACTTTTGTTGCTTCCTAGCTGAAGCTGTTGAGGTCAACAGTGTACTGCTATCCAGTTAATTCAGAGGTAGCAGGAAGGGAGCTACTCTTGAATTTTGGGTTCAGTTTTAAGACATGACATTTTTGCAAGCAGTTCTTGAGTTTTGAAGAGAAATTTTCCTCCTCTTCCTTCATGGAAAATCACTGTGAAATACAGCTGTGATGCATAAAAGTGCTCTGCCTTCCTTCACCGTGGAAGTAAGTAGCACACCAGTTGAGCTGTCCAGTATTCGAAGTAGAAAAATTACTATTGTTTGTTTTTTGCTGTGCTGATCTTGCGGTGCTGCCGTGCTCTCCTTGGCCATCTGCCCCTTTTGATATCCCGTGGCTCTGCTGCGAGCTGGTGAGCCGTTAGGAAGGTTGGGCATTTGGAGCCTACAGCGGTTTAGAGCATCCCATAGGTCTGATAATTCCTCAGGCTGCAGCAATCCTTCTGCATCCTTTTGAGCAATTGGAGACCGATGGAGAGGAAGCTGTTGCTGTGGTGAGATGCGCTTTTTTCCACCTACATTTGGTCAGAAGGGTGTGATGTTTCCCGTGGGGACAGCAAGCTTTGGAGATGTCGAGGTTGGTTGTTGGAAATTCTCTGAATAGGCTTGTCTTGGATGTGAAGGTGGCGCTGGCACAGCACGTAGTACTGGGGTGTGATGCGGACGTGAAGCGCGTTTGACTCTTTTCTCGGCAGCCTGCGCTGGCTGCTTCTGTCCTTAAAATGGAAGTGGCTACTCGTGATTTGTCTGTTCGAGGTATTGCTTCTTCCCAGTGTGAGCCTCTTGAGTGGACAGCAGCAGATGTGCTACAGCCTGGTGGCCTTTTTGTTTAACTGGAAACTTCCCCACCCTCAAGGGGGAAAAAAAGGGCCATTTTTTTTTTTAAAGTATGTGGCCCTAACGAGTAGTTGTTTGGTTTCACTGACAAAATACATAAGTACATTCTTGTGAATAGGCTTGAGTTAGAGTTCCAGAATATGTCAGCTCTTTTTTTTTTTTTATCATGGTAATACCTATGGTCTGTTTTCAGAACAGTACTAAAGTGTTTTGTTTTTTAATGAAACAGTTTTAAATTGTAAGAGAGGACTAGCAGTATTGATTCTTTTCTTGGGGGAAGTCTTGAAGGAGCTCTGTCATTTTATTCTGTTTTTCCTTTTTTTTTTCTTCCTCTCTTTCTAGGTTTTATTGCATCTGATATGACTTCCAGAAACTCTAGTACCCAGTTGTGGTTAATTACCCACTACCATGAGATGGGCTCTTTGTACGACTATCTACAGCTCACTACCCTGGACACGGTCAGCTGCCTGCGCATAGTACTGTCCATCGCTAGTGGTCTTGCACATTTGCACATAGAGATATTCGGGACGCAGGGGAAGCCTGCCATTTCGCATCGGGACTTGAAGAGCAAAAATATCCTCGTTAAGAAGAACGGACAGTGCTGTATAGCGGATTTAGGTGGGTTCCTTTCGGTGCTGATGTACTTGGTGCATTCCTGAAGAAATCAAATGTATTGGACAACTCCAGCCGTAAAAGCCTTAAAGTAACCTTAAAATACCCGCCAGCGCTGACGCCACCCTGCAGGCTTTCAGCAGCCACTAGATGGCACGGACAGCTCGGGAGCGGCGCCCGCGCAGCCTCCGGCTGGGGAGCAGGTCCGACACCTCGGGCTTTTCCTTGGGTTTTTGTGGTCCCGGAGGGCAGTGGTTACGAGGCCTCGACTCGTTTCTGAGCTGGTAAATGCCCTTATGCTTACAGTCTCAGAACTGGGCGCTCGCTGTGCCAGGCTCTGTAGGTCCATCCAGCTTTTGCCAGATAATTCAGCAAGCCCAGAACGGGGTTCTCTGTGGCCAGCTGGCTTTAGACTTTAAGCTGGCAGGATGCTGAGAAACCACTGCAGCAGTACGGCTCGTTCGTACCGTGAGGGTATGTCTGGCAATATTTTTTTTCTTGGAAGCCAAGGGAGAAAATAGGGGTAGAACAGTAGTATTGGGGAGTCATTGGCTAGACAAAAAGCATATTGAGGGATGGGAAATTTTTTCAGTAATAATTCCACTGCATAGTTCCTGTCATTTTTGCCTGAGGGATATGAGATACACACAGGGAAAACAGGAAAGCCACACGCCTGGGCCTATCTAAATTTGCAGGGGGAATAGTAAGTAAAAAGTGGAGCACCAAGTTGAAAATACAAAACTTCAGAGACTGGCTTTTAAATAAATTTATACCTCATACTGGGGAAGGGGCAGCACACACTGGCATTGATTGGCATCTCACTAATAAATCGTGTAATGGACTTCACTTTGTCTAGAGGCTTCAGATATTTGAGAGCTTTTCTGAGAGAGCACAGCAATAAACATTTCCCAGTTAGTTTTTGTGATGGTAAAATAGCTTTTTTTTTTTAAAAAAAAAAACAACAACAAACATGGAGTCCTGAGGTGTGTGTCTGACATGTTCTTCGTTTATTCCTCATCTGTAAAGGAGACTTACTGAAGAGTTCTGGCATATATTCATGCCCTCTTTTTCTGCATAGCATTGTCTTTTTTTTTTTTTTTTTTTCTCCTCCTCTGATCTCTTTCTGTGTTTCAACACGTGCACCACACAAGAAAAATGCCTGGTAAGTATGAGCAGATGGAAGGACTCACTGCAGCTGGGCTTGGGTTCTGTTGGTCACAGCAGGTGCTGGACTTGCAGTGTACCTGTTCAGAACAGGCGTCAGCTCTGCAAAGACAGAGGCATAAAATCCCCTTGGTGCGTCTCTCGCGATGGCCTGTTTTGCCGGCACGCCTGCGCTGCAGGGCAGCCTGCTGTTTGCTGCCGGTCCGTCCTGCTCCTCCTGGCCAGCAGCGAGTGCCAGGGCTTGGCGAGTCGGCCCTTGTCCTTCGGCAGGCGAGCTGGAAACCAGTATCTCCAGCGGCCACCGGCGTCCAGAGCTGCAGTTACAGAACTGGCCGTCTCCAGCACGTTCGAGCTAAGCAGGAGCAGTGAGATGAAGTCCAAGGATGGATGTCAGTGCTGGGAAAAGTTCAGCCCTTCTGCTTCTAAAGCGATTCACACGCATGGGTTGTAGGTCTTAGTTGAGCAGCTTTACAGAACAGCAGAATAACGCTTATACAAAGAGAAGGAAAAGCCCACCCTCCCCTCACTCCCTCCTTCCCCTTGCCCCTCCATCTAGAGTGGTGGATGTCTGTTTGAAACAAACACTGGTATTTGTGAGGAAGGTGCGAGGAATGATAACAAAACATATTTGCTCAATTTTTGTTTCTAGCAGGTACTCAATATACTAAAGAGGATTTTTTGGTGTCTTGAAAGCCAGTGTGCTTCATCAATTTGTACTCCTGTCAAGCTGTTTGTGGTTTTTTGGTGGGTTTTTTTTGTTTTTAAGAATTAATATCTTTAAGAGCTGCTCTGACAAGCAGTTACATGCCCTTTAGTTAAACATGCATTGAGATCTCCTGAGGTGAAAAGAAGCCAAAGCAGAGCAGTATCTGCCTCCGAACTCTCGTAAACAGCGCAGATGCCCCCATGAAGAGAACCTGATTACAACACTGTTGTCCCCTGACCTCATTGCAACACGTTCTTGGTTTGTAGTGTGTGGGATGCTGACTTGCATCCCTCGGCCCTAAACCTTTGACCTGTCAATCTGTTTGCATCTGTTTTGCCCAGTTTGGATGGAGCATTACGATTTTTATCAAAGTGTTCTGCAAAGTCTTGATGTCTTCAGAGTTTGCCAGGAAGTTTGTTTTCTAACCTTTATTTACAGTGTGCAAGCTGTTTCTTTTCGAGTATTATGATCCATACATGTTGTGTAATACAAATGAATATAAACAGAGACGTGTACAAGTGTGTGTGTGTAAATACATGTCCCATATATGTGTGTGTATGGATCTCTATAGATAGGTGATAAAAAATACTTTTATTTGGGGAGCAGGCTTTCCAAATTACCTTCTCAGCAGTCATGGGGTTAGTAGATGGGATCTTTCTAGAGGTGCCACGAGCATTTTCATAGCGACTTGAAATTACTTGAGGTGCATTTAAACTGCAGGAAAGTGTTTTCCAAGTTTTTGTTACGTTGAAGTACAAACTGGTTTTGGAACAAAAAAAAAAATTAATGATCGTAGGTTAATTTTTGGTAGGACTGAGTTTAAAAGCTTTTTAAGTTTCATCTAAAATAAACTCATGTTAATTGTAAATAGTATATGTTATTCTTACGGGATTTGTTGAGGAAATTAAGGAGGGTTTGTGTCGTCTTTTCTATTGCTTAGTTATGTCATGCTCCTGTTGCTGTTCAATTTGCAGTGCTCCCTGTTTACTGTGGCAAAATGAGTACTCCGTATGTTTCCAAATTTACAGTAATTTAGTCCCTCACATAATGTTCTTTGCTTAAATGTTTAGTAATTAGTAGGAACCAGGTAGAGTGGTTTTGACTGACTCATTTTAGATCAGCTTGAGGTTGTTTATTTTTCAAGCTACTGCAAATATGGTGGGTTTTATTTTCCAGCTTTGTTTTTTAACTTGTGTATATCCATCATGCAGTGTTTTTCTTCTCTCTTCCCCGCAGTTCGGATATATCCACCTACCCAAAAGGTCTATAAATAAATGTGAATGTTGTGCAAAATTGTTTTCTTCTAAGTAACAGATGCTTGGCCTTCTGTGTATACGTGCCTAGAGCGCTGGTGACATCCAGTGGCTGCAAAACACTTAATGACAGCGTTTTGCAACAGTGCAATAACATGCTTAGTGGTAATCCCTGAGGAGATAATTGGTCCCAGTCTGCGGACACAGTGCCTGCTTTGATAGCTGTTTGGAGCTGACCCAGTTGGTCTTTGGACAGTTGGACTCAGCTCCTTTTAAAGAAACTGTCTGATGGGTGTCACTGATCCCGTGTAACTTTAAACATACGCTGCTATACTTTTAAAGGGGGCTTAGCAGTAACTTTTTTTTTTCCTGTCCTTCAGGCCTTGCAGTTATGCACTCCCAAAGCACGAATCAGTTGGATGTGGGGAACAATCCCCGTGTGGGTACCAAGCGCTACATGGCTCCAGAAGTCTTGGACGAAACCATCCAGGCAGACTGCTTTGACTCCTATAAAAGGGTCGATATCTGGGCGTTTGGGCTGGTCCTTTGGGAAGTAGCTAGGCGCATGGTTAGCAACGGTAAGTATTATTTGGGACTCCTTTACCTGGTTTTAGGTGTTAAGCAAATGGTGATTCATGGCAAAGCTGCTGCCACCAGAATGCATAGGGTGTGTGGTAGAATACTGGACTCGGAAGTATTTTGATTCCTGGCACTTTGCTGCCTGTTGAAGTTGTGGTATGTTGGGTGCAATGTCATTTCAGTTAAGGCAGAGAGGATCCCTTGCTACATTCTAAATCGTGATGAGAAATAATTCATACCAAATAGTTAAGTTAAAATTTTGGATGATAAAGTCTCTAAACTTCTTCCATGTGTCGTTAAACCATAGTGAATACTTTTCGGTGCCTGTTTCTCATGACAAAACCTAAGGAACAGAAGGGAAATAGGTAGGAAGTGAAGAAGTGCAGTGGTCAGAATTCAGGGGTGCTCTGGCTTTACCAAATTAAATACAGTCACAAAGTGGGACTCGGTTTTGCTTGGGAAAAGCGCCACTGAGTCCTGTTCTGTAGCTGCTTCGTGTTTCCTTGGCAAGGGTGTCTGAATTGATGAACCTTTAAGCTAGGTATCCGTTGGTGTGATTTGTCCTTGTCAATTCAGAAGTCATCTCTGGCTTGTGGGCCTCAGGTTGTGCTCTCTGGACCCCAGCGGGCAGGAGAAGGCAGAAGGTGCCCTTCAGGCACGTCCGCAGACGCTGGCAGTGATGGGTTGTTAGTGGCGACATGTTTAAATCCAAGGAAGTTCTGGATTGTCATGTGTGCTTATTTGCTCCACGTGTCTGATCTGTTCCCACTAAATCCAAATCTGGGATTCCCTAACTGACGTCAGGCAACGGTTTTATCTCCAGGCAAAGATGAGTAGTCGTTTGTTTTCTCCGGCTCCTCCGAGCCCTGATGGTAGGCTGGAACCTCGCAGGGCAGGTGGGGTTGGTGCCAGCTGGGTGCTGCCAGCTTGGGATCCAAGTACAAACTCGCTCGAAGGAGGCCTGGCCAGAACGATAGGCAGTCAGAGTGGTGCAACCTGAAGAATTGAGGGCTTTTTTTGGTGGGAACTACTACAAGTCAGAATTTGGCGGAAGAATTTGGAGGAAAGGATTAAGATAGCTTTAGAGATGTTCCCAGAAAGCAACTGTTGAGAGGCAAAGGAGGGAGTATGAGTGGTTTGTGGAGAGGTGGGTACAAAGGAGCAGTGAGTGGACGGAGGTAGGCTGCGGTAAGGTATGACAGTGAAGGCTTGTGGTAGCTAGTGCAGGGTAACAAAGCCTGGCTCAAGTTCTAGTGGAAGTTAAGATACTTGCCTTGTATTGGTTCCGTGCATTATTTCCCCTCTGTTCCCTGACCCCAGTGGAAATCCTGTCCAAATGGTGATATGTTGGACTACGGGAAGCAGGGAGAGGACAGACGCGTGTGCAACAGCTCTGGACACAAATAGTGTTATTCTATTAGAGTACACGACTTCTGCTAAATATGAACCTTTTACTTCATCTGTTACACACTGGTGGCCAAAATTTAACTGCGAGTTAAAAAAAAGCATTGCTCCCTTGTTCAGGGTAATTCTTAGAGGCACAGCAGCCCCAGGCAGCTCGTTGTCTCCAGAAGCGCTGCAGTGAGGCTTGCTAGGAGAAGGCTGCTGGAAGGTGGCACTTTAGAGAAGATTTGCAGACCTTCCATGCTTGCTGGGAGCCTTCGTGGGGCCTGGAGCACTGTCCCAAGCCCCTGTCTCCTCTAGGGTGCTTATAAGATGCTTAAACAAAGCTGACTTGGAGGTAGCGAAGTGCATCGGGTAGGCTCAGGTGGCTAATTCAAGTCTTCCTGCAAGCCTGAGGGCTTGCTTTGATAGCTCTGGAGAGATCCCAAACGGGTTTTCTGTGACGAGAGCAGGGTAGCCCGTGCAGGGGGTCAGCTGCCATAGTGAGCAGCTCCCGCCTTGCTGGCAGCTGGCTGCAGTCACAGGCCTGACTCCAGGAGCCGAAGGGAACTGCCGTGGGCTTTCCGTGGGGTGGCTGGAGCTGAGCTCGTGACCTCGTCTTCCTTCTCTCACTGTCAGAGGGGTTCCTTGAAGACGTATGCGGCAAAAGGAGTAGGTGTTGTTCAGATCCAAAAACATACATCGGCCAGATTGCGGTGTGGTGATGATCTTGGCTGAAGGTGTATGCGGTTAGTCAGAGAAAGGAGGGAAGTCTTGAGAATGCATGGTGGTGTTTTTTCTTGTGGTGCACTCTGTCTGTTGGCAAATGTGCGTTGTAGGCAGTTAGGAAGGCTTGCTTGCTGCATTTCCCAGTATTTGGAGGCCTCTGGGTTGCAGTTCATGTCAGTGCAAGTGCCTTCAGAATTTAAGATGTGACTTCATTGAGTCCAGTGCGGTTTTATGCTCTGCGCTTTGTCTGTCTCCAGTCTGTGAGCACTGTAGTTTACCAGTTGCCGTAACATGATGGGCCTGCTGGGCAGGCGTTGATCAATTCGCTGTGCCGTGGGTGATGCTCGCTGCGGTGGGAAGGGCAGCCCGCGCGTGAGGAAGCAGTGGGTCTGGAGGGGCCGGCGGTGCTTACAAGGACACGTGCCTACACACGGGCACCCGGTGGGGTATTGCCTGTTGGAACACAGCAGGTGGCCCATGTGATGGCAAAACTTCACGTGTGAGCTTTTGATAAGTCTGGTTTTATTGCCAGTCCTGAATTTTGAGTAGTTCGTCTGGACTTTCTCTTGCCACGGTGCTGTTTTGGAGGCTGGTAGTCCTTTGTGGAATATGAGATGTCTTGCTCTCTTTGCCTATGAGTATGTGTTTATACTTGTGTATCTGTGTGTATACTGTATATAATACCTGTATAAAAAATACACAGTCTTGCCTAATTACCTCTGGAAATGAAAATTCCATGAGACAGTACCTATGCTTTAAAAATTCCCGTGCAGGAGCGTTGATACGTGTGTATTGCTGCAGCAGCTGCCGCTCACAGACAGTTTACCTGAGCCGCTTTTAAACGAGCGAGCTCAGATTGTGCTGGCAGCTTCACCGCGATGCTGTGAAACGCAGCATGGGCTGCAGGCGTGCCCCGGGGATGGGTAAGTGCTGCGGTGATGTGGTTTGGGCCGAGCTCGGTCCCACCAAGGAAGCACTTTTAAAAGCGATACAGGTACGTCGTGACACTGGTCGTGTCTTAAGTTTAAGATGACGGTGACACTAATTCCGCAGTACTGATTTCCAGTTGCTCTGTTCTTCTGGCTGTTGCCTAAGCAGTTTCATTTCCTTGCACTGGTTTAGAATGGAGTAAACCTTTTCTCTCAAATCTGAGTGTTTAGCTGTGTGGAAATCATTACTTCATCAGGTGGTCACTCCGATAACCCTGTTTGATCTGTAGTAAGACTTTGGCACTGGGAGTGAGTGTGCTGGGGTCAGGGTAGCATGCTCGTGGGAGCTGGTGATGGCGTGTCTCAGGGGGGCTACAGGCACTTGTCCGCTACGTGCGCTAGAGGTGTTTGCTGCTATCCCATGCTGGTGGACACTGGTCATCTCTCACTGGGTGGAAGGGCAGAGTCTGTTCCAGTGAGTCAGCCTGGTTTAGTACTTGAGTTTTTGGAGACTGTGAAGTTGTAATCTGACTAATGATAGTTTTTAAAATTTTATTTTTAAATTTTTAATTTTTAATGTTTATTCTAACATTTTCAGGTTTTTAAATGTTTAATATTTTTTTAAAACTTCTCTAAGTCCTCAAGTTGACACAGTGGTTCTCAGTACTTTCCTGTTGTGCTTTAGTATAGGGAGGAGAATGTGACAGGGCAGCCAAGAGTCCTTGCGTGTTGCCTCTGTGCTGTAGCCAGAGCCGCTCAGCGTTTCTCTCTGTACTTGAAAATCATCGAACGGTTTGGGTTGGGAGGGACCTTCAAGATTTAAGCCCCCAAATCAGTGTTTCACTCCTGTCCAATGGACCAGTGCTGGTTCCTTGTGGAGCGGCTGCTGGTGTTTTGGGAACGTGCTCCCTCCCTGGTGTCCAGGGCCTCGCGTCGGTGCTTCCCTGGTGCCTGGCGCTTGCAGCGCTGCTCCCTGGGAGTCCCCGCAGTTGGTCCTGGGATTGTGATCTTGTTCAGCGCGGGTAGTGGAGAGACGGGGACTGCTCAAAGCCAGCCCTGGTGCGTGAGCAGCGTTGTGCCTGCAAGGCTGTGCCTGTTGTTCGGGCGTCCGTGTAGGCCTTGCTTCGCTCCGACGGCTGCGTTTGTGCGTGCACGGGGCAAGCTGACGCTGAAGCCACAAGGAACAAGGCGAAGAAAGCACTACTCCGTGTGAGTTCTGGTTCCTTTGAGTAGCAAAATATACACCCTGCTGTAAGTGGTGGAAGTCCTCTTCAAGCTGTCCAGGAGGCGGCCAGCTCTCGGTTGGGCGGGAGGGCCCGGGGTCCCTGGCAGCGGGCGGCTGGCTCA